CGCGCCCATTACTCTTGTATGCATGAAGAATGAGGTTCTTCAGCTTGTCCAAATGTCCAAAAGTGTAACTGGTTACCACAAGTGGTCTGAGTAGTAAAATGTAACAATGCAAAGAGTGGCATGACAAATATATATAAGATATAGTGTCTTTATTTCAACATTGCATTTAGTAAATTAAAAATATATATAAACAATTGTACTCACAAAATTGTGGAGCAAGGAAATTTAAATTTTAGCATTGCTATTATGTTTTGTGTGGTCTTTGTTAATTAAGAAAGGCTTCAGAAACAAGTTAGTGAACTATTGCTATTATGTTTTGTGTGGTCTTTGTTAATTAAGAAAGGCTTCAGAAACAAGTTAATGAACTATTGCTATTATGTTTTGTGTGGTCTTTGTTAATTAAGAAAGGCTTCAGAAACAAGTTAGTGAACTATTGCTCTTTATTTTTCCACCACTGCTGAGCAACTACATATAGAATCGACAAGAATCTGCAAGTCGAGGATCCTTATTCATCATATAAAAATAATAAAAATAACAGAAATAACAAATGTAAGCTTAGCTATCGGTTTATGGTCATCTTCATTATAACCACATAATGGTAGAAACTACATCTAAATGAAGCCAGGACAACTAGAGTTATTTGTTCATAATAAAAGATATCGGTGTGTTATGAAATGTTCTTTATTCTTCACCAGTTCCTTGTTCGTCGTTCCCCCATTACACAAAAAAATTTTGACTTTAAGACTACAGATCTGGGGGTAAGAGGGGAGGGATAAGGATAAGATACACACAAAAAAGGTGGACTAGCGATTTTATATTAAAGAGTCAGCGTAAGCGGTGTGAATAAAATTAGTTTTGTCCCCACTACAAAAGTTTCTTGTACAAATTTGTATATACATTCTTAGTTCTTTGTACGCCCCACGTTGTTCTACTTTAACGCATACAAGACAAAGAAATCACAGTTAGTTCTTCTCGGTTCTAACCCGAAACTTTATCCATTATACAACTACTCTACATACATTAGTGAGTGCACAAAAAATGGAATGGCGGAGTTAGGAGTGCGCTGATGAAAAATATCAAGTAAAATAAGTGAAAATTTGACAAAAAAACCAGCTAGTAATTGCATGCACGATTTAAGGGTTACAAATTTAAATACAAAACAAAAATACTGATTGAATATCTCAGTAGTCATTATTTGGAAACTGCTGTGTTAACCTTTTCCATAGGTAACCTTGTGGATTTTTTCGGACATCATCTGCCTAGGTTTTGGTGCCTTAAGTACCCTTTACCTAATTAATCCCTTGTATTCCTCACATCGTTATTAAAATCTAGCTAAGTTAAGCTTAGTCCGTGAAACTCACGTGGAAGTGAAAATTCTGCATAGCCATAGTTTCTCAAATCTGAATGTCTATGAATTCTTATTATACTGTAACACACAGTTTAACATGGTTGGTTGTCTTGAGCATTATTTTATGTATTCTACTGGGTATAAGGCACTTAGATATATATGAGTGCATACATATTAAACGTCTAAATTTCAAAAATAAAACAATAGTGGTGGTCTAACAAAATATTCGACACAAAAACAATGTAGATGAATAAAACTGCCTAACAAAATGACAGAATCAGATTTCATCAGCTACTATACAAGCGTTTCACAGACCTCTGATAGAATATCAATGAAAGACAGTTAAAATTTTTACTGTAATAATAAAATCCCATTACATACATACTACATGAAAACCTTCGCACCGTATTTTCAAGGATATAAATCATACGAGCATCAATAAGCGAAACACTAATAATAACAAATTAGTGACATATATGAGCAATTAAGGCTTACACATCATACAAAGTCTGGTCACTACTATGCTATCAACATATATAAATGTATATAGATACAAAACATGCCCTGTTATCATATAAAGTGCATTACTTGATCACGTAAGAGGATTCGTTGTTCCTCAAACCTATACACATCCTTTTCATTATTCATATATTACTGCTCCCATATATATATATATTTATACAAGCCTTTATTCACTATAATTTTGATTTAATTACAATTGACGAATTATAAAAACTAATAATATGGATATGAATACCTGGCAGCGCCCTTTATTATAAGTCAAAGTTTATCGTACTGTAATACGTTATACAACTGCCTTACAAGTAGCCAAACACAACAAGGTTTTAGAAAGTAAAACGTAGTCTACAGGATAATCAACTTCAAACAATTAAAAGATTCTACATCTTTTTCCAATGGCTAGTATTCTCAAGCAGTGGCGTATCTAATACTGGGCCTGGCTGGGCACGTGCCCGGCCTATTCCTAAGCGAAGAATGATAAGTTATCGACCCATAACGGAACCAAAGCATAAAAATTACTTGTTTGCAATTTGGATTGTCCAAAGTGAGAAGACCAATAATCAACAAGTTTACAGAATCACGTGTTCGTATGTAATTATAAATGTTATTTAGTTTGTAAGGTTAAATTCTCTCCGTGCGTAGAAAGTGTAACCTGGCTATTTACTTGTACAATGCTGGTGTTTTGATGTAAGTACACACAGAGCAAGACCAGAACATTATACATTTATTAGGTAAAAGATTCAAGCAGGTTCTTCATATGTACATTACAAAGGGGCTAGACCAAAATGCTTTCTGTAATGTGAGCATAACCTGGTGGTGCCCGGACAAATTTAAATGCTTTATCTATAACATTGTTCATGAAACATAATTTAAGTAGTTAATTTCTCCAAAGTGATATTATCATTATTTTCACGTGTGGTATTAAAAGCTTACAGGTTAGTTGCTGTATCTCTTAAAGTTCGACAAAAATCACTTGAAGAATTATACTTTACACGGCTTGCTGGAACTCAAAAACGTTTGTTATCATCACTTGTAAACATTATTTTATGAATATCTATATATGTACAAACTAAACCGCGCCCAGAAAGCAAACAAGGCCGTTAACAGTCGACTGATGGACTAATGGAGTGAAAAATTGTTTACGATGAAAGGGAAGACTTTCGTAACAATAGAAACAGCACCATATTTGCGAGTAGAAAAAAAACCCATCAGAAACATTCAGGATACTATCGGCGTAGGAATAAGGAGAAGCCCCATATTTAGACTGGAAGTGGGGTATAAGCCTCTCTAGGTTTTATTTTTTCAGTCTAGGAAACACAAAAGCTGTACGGACTTGAATCAATAACTACTTGTTTCTCGTACGTGCATTTCAGTTTAGAATATTAGAGTACATTTGATTTGAAGTGAGTTCGTGATACCCACCACGTGTGCTCTCTAACTCACAGCTAACACATACGTGCTCTAACTTAACTATCTCACAGCTAACACATACGTGCTCTAACTTAACTATCTCACAGCTAACACATACGTGCTCTAACTTAACTATCTCACAGCTAACACATACGTGCTCTAGCTTAACTATCTCATAACCAATACATGTGTGCTCTAACTTAACTATCTCATAACCAATACATGTGTGCTCTAACTTAATTATCACATAACCAATACATGTGTGCTCTAACTTAACTATCACATAACCAATACATGTGTACTCTAACTTAAGTAACTCACAGTTAACACATGTGTACTCTATGTTAACTAACTCACAGTTAACACGTGTGTACTCTAACTTAACGATCTCACAGCTAACACGTGTGTGCTCTAACTCACAACCAACACGTGTGTGCTCTAATTTAACTAACTCACAGCTAACACATGCGTGCTCTAACTTAACGATCTCACAGTTAACACATGCGTGCTCTAATTTAACTAACTCACAGCCAACACGAGTGTGCTCTAACTTAACTAACTTACAGTTAACACATGTGCGCTCTAACTTAACGAACTCACAGCAAATTAGAGCACGCATGTGTTAGCTGTGAGTTCGTTAAGTTAGAGCCCACATGTGTTAGCACATGTGTTAACTGTGAGTTAGTTAAGTTAGAGCGCACATGTGTTAACTGTGAGTTAGTTAAGTTAGAGCACACTCGTGTTGGCTGTGAGTTAGTTAAATTAGAGCACGCATGTGTTAGCTGTGAGTTCGTTAAGTTAGAGCACGCATGTGTTAGCTGTGAGTTCGTTAAGTTAGAGCAACGAACTCACAGCCAACACGAGTGTGCTCTAACTTAACTAACTCACAGTTAACACATGTGCGCTCTAACTTAACGAACTCACAGCTAACACATGTGGGCTCTAATTTAACTAACTCATAGACAACACACATTCCTACTTCACCTTTCTATTATGTCAAAATATTTCGTGTCATAAATTCTTAATGCTGATGTAGCGAAATTCAAGGTCGATAATTATTCGTTTTTGTGTCGTACGTCATTAAACCATCACAATTACCGGATACTGCATATAAATCCCCCCTAAAAATAAAACTAAGAAAATTGTGCATTTTCCTTTCGGACCTTTATCGTTTTGAGTTAATATGTGCTCTTACGTTAATACATACATTACGGTTATTAAAACACGCTCTCAAAGATAGAGAAATGATAATTTCCTACAGTTCAGGCTTGCTAAAGGTGTTGTAATTCAACAGTTAGTATTCTAAATATAGCATTGTTTCATAAAAATATTATTTATTAATGGACCGATGTTTCTGTCATTTTTTTTCCGAAGGCTATTAACATAAGACAGATTACAACAAAACTGTATCATATTAAATCAGATTAGAATAAGTCATGGCTTCGTTTTAGTTCAAGCACCACCTACCAGCCAACTTCTTCAAAACAAAGAAATAAATCATGTTTGAACGATTTGTGAATTGACTAATAGGTTTTATATCTTGTTGTTTTATATAATAGCGATAGGTTAATCAAAAGCTCACATCTCACACTTTCAAAACACACGGATGAGTGTTATAGTTATCACTGTCCTGTTGCTGTGAATATCTAACATAACGCTATTCTTTATAACGTGACAAACAGTTGCTGTTGACGAGCCGCTCTATAGCAAGTGTATAAATCCGTTTACTAATCAGTAAAAATAAAAACAGAAAAATAGAAAATGGCACTTGAATAATAAACAATAACAAAAGCAAACGATAAGAAGTGTCACAAACAGAACAAAATAGGATCCATCTTCTCTGTGTGGAGATATTACATAAAGAACAATGGAAGTATTTTTGCTAAACCTTTCACTTTCAGGAAAGTTTTGGTTTTAGTACATCAACTCGCGAAAGCCTTATTCAAAGAGGCAAGGCGACACATAGTTTTTCATATTAAGTTAGTCAGAAATAGATTAAACGTAGCCTTTTTAAAGAAGTCTTGCAAGGATAACCGCTTGCAAAATACATGGCAACGTACATATAACAGCTTTCTGTCTTTTTTATACTTCCACACAGCACGAGCACTGGTGACCTTTGACTTAAGTTGGCTGCAGAAACTATAGCATAACCAGAAACACGAGGCAACTGTAAATAGCGATGGCTCCAGCAAAAAGCTTCTCCGATGAACTGTCTTTATCTTTTCCCTTAGTAGTTTCTGTTGTACCATGAGTGAAATGTATATCATGTTCTTCTTTATCAGTAACTGTAAAATAACAAACAAGTTTAATTAATTAATCAATATTGTGAAATATTTCCTCCTATTGATGGTACTTGACAAATACGATTTTATGCGTAGCAGTATAGTTACAAACACACTGAAATTTCTTTCTTCAATTCATCACCTAGTGATATGTTTTAATTTTCTATTAACCATGTCAAAGAAAGTTATTAGAATCGAAAACAACACTTAATAGAGTGTATTCCCATTAAATATTATTAATATATATAAGCAAGCTGATAGAACCTTTGACACCTATGGGTTCCACAAAGCAAATAGAGCTTCTTAACAAAATATACGTGCAATAACATAAGTAAGATTCAAAGCTCAAGTAGTAGCGAAATGTTTATTGAATTTAAGGAAGCTTTTGGGTAAAGCTAACTTTTGGCAACAGATAGCGCCACTAAAAAGGAATATTGCACAACAATTACATGTGGAATTCATGCTTATATTTCACAACTCAAAATACATAGCTTATATCCATTTGAACTATTTACTCTTATAAATTATTGTTGTTTTTTGCAATGTATCTTTAATTATATATTATTACTACATTTACACATGATGTTTGTTTGTTTCAGAATTTTCGCGAAAAGCTACTCAAATGACTATCTATGCATAACCGTACCAATTTTGAACTGATAAACTAGAATGAAGGCAGCTATCAAATAGCACACACTAACATCGCTTGGATACTCTTGTCTAAACGTGGTTTAATTGTCACGCTTACAGCGCACCCAGGGGCCCAAACTGAGAAGAGCGTTTTCGCGGAAAGAGCGATAACCATGAACATATGAGTAATTTTTGTGTGTGCTATTCAAGCCCTTTAGAGTTGAATTTCAAAGTTTAAGGGTTAGCTGAATCTTAACATAACATTAAAGGACAGCAATGGACCTTTCGATCTATCTCGGCTGTCCTATCCACTAAATTAAACTAAATCCTTCAAAAAACAACTCTAAGCCAGCCCTTATCATTCAAATATTTACCAAGCTTATCCTTAAACTCCCTGAAATTAACTGCATCCACTACATCCGAAAAATATAACCTTTTCGAGAAGCCTACTACCCTGGTAGAAAAAATAAAAAGTGCTTTACCATTTTTTTCTTAACAGGTTCAGAATTTTGTTAACCTTTTTTTCCACTTATTAGCTGTTCAGGTTAAGGAATATTGATTAAATATTTATTAGTAAAACGGAAAAAATAGTCGATTGTTTGTTTGTTTGTTTTGAATTTCGCGCAAAGCTACACGAGGGCCATCTGCGCTAGCCGCCGTCCCTAATTTAGCAGTGTAAGACTAGAGGGAAGGCAGCTAGTCATCACCACTCACCGCCAACTCTTGGGCTACTCTATTACTAACGAATAGTGGGATTGGCCGTCACATTATAACGCTGAAAGGGCGAGCATGTTTGGTGGGACGGGGATTCGAACCCGCGACCCACAGATTGCCGAGACAAAATAGTCGAATTTAATAATCCAGCCATTTCATAACCACCAGATATTAGCCTTCCGATGTCATCCTTCGAAGGTTTTCCTTCCATTCTAACATTCGTTAATTTATTTGGAAAAATCCTTACTATTTATTTTGACATTTTTAACCAACCTCTTTTCCCATATTTCTAATTTGCCGTTTGACCAACTCTCGTGATCTTCTGTAGTCCTTCAGATCTCCCAACATTGTAATGAATTTACACTTCTTATGGTTATAATAGTTTTTCTTTATATCCTTTGTGAGCCAACCTAGTTTGTTACTATGCAGCCACCATTTTTTTTGTCTATCTTGAATATTTAAAAAAATACCTTTTTAAATTTTCCACATTTAATCAGTATCTCCAAAACACAGTTGCCCAATTCACAGCAAATAATTCTTGTCTCATCTTTCAAAATTAGCTTTTTGAAATTTAGAACCAATATCTCATTATTCCTTTTCTCCATATGCAGTAAAACATCATATCTAATTAAACAATGATCACTTGCACTCATATGTTCCTCAACCCCTACCTTATCAACCATATCTTTATTAGGTGTTAACAATAAATATAAAATAGCATTGTTCCTAATAGGTTCCCTAACCAAATGGTGAAAAGAAAACCATCCTGAACAGTTTCTCACTCATGATTTGACTCTAACATTTCCCAATACGTATGCCTGAAATTGACAACTCCCATAATTATGACCTTCTTAACAGTCGAATTATCTCACGGTAGAGTTTCTCATTAATTTCGTCAGTTTTATCTGTTGGTCTGTAACAAATTCCAACTAAACATCTTTTCCCCTTATAACCACTAACAGAAACCCAAATAGATTCGTTCTCATTGTTGTTAACTTTGATATCATAAACATGAACAGGCTACAACTCACATTTTACATATAAATCCACTCTTACCTCTCTTTTTAGTACTCTATCCCTATCAAACAACACATAACCCTGTATTTCAGATATTCCTGTCACCAAAATTCTCTACATTTAACTAGGTTTCAATTATTCCGATTATATTAAAATCCTCTGTTTGACAAATGCCCTAAAGTCGTCCATTTTATTTCTCATACTTCTGGTATTACAATAATAACAGTTTAGTCTGCCATTATACCAACTCTGTAACTATATCTTATAAATATGTTCGTCCACATAAATAAATATACATGTATACTAATAGTTCTTGGCAAAAAGATAAAGTGCAGGTATGTGAAAATATCAAGCACAACTGTGTTATAGTTTTATGTTCTATGTTAAGTTGCGAGCCTGGAAAATCCAAGTCTAGACTACAAAAAAAATGCGTGATAAAAAATCAAAGATCTTTGAAATTAAGCTGAGAACAAATAAGTCAAGACAACTTTTACGGCAGTTCGCAATAACAAAGAATAACACCTGAGTTATCGATAACAACAGAAGATGGATAGCATGGAGTACACCAAATTAGTGTCGCATGATATACCTTTGTAATTTGTATTTCTAAAATTTTAAACTACAAATAACTCTAACGTAAGTTTGGAACGTTACAACAAAAATTAAAACAGTCAAAGTATACTTCCAGACAACTCCAAGATTTCAAGTTTTTATTATCCCTTCATCAAGTTGGGTAAATTATCATTATTGTCAGTTTATTTTTCAGAGAGAAAATTCATGTTTTTAAGACAAACCAACTGAACCTCCAGAATCTTTAATTTTATTTTAATATTTCACATCATGGTTTATCCTATCCAGCTTCTGTGCTATTGAACAGAAAATCTGGGTTTAAAAAGTCATACCATAAAGAAAAACATTTCTTCTGTATAAATGGCAGGGAAATCGAATAGTAATATATATCATTTATTACTGTTTCAGTCAGATTTTGTTTAAATATAACATTTGTCGTTTAAGAGTTGATGCATCGAAACAAAAATGTTTTACTGTTTATGTTTATTATTAAGCACAAAGCTACACAAAGAGCTATCTGTGCTCTGCCCACCACGAGTATCAAAATCCTGTTTCTAGCGATTTAAGTCGGCAGACATGCCGCTGTGTCACTGGGAGGCACGTTTCACTGTTTAAAACACTGAAATGTGCAACGTTTTGAAAGTTTTTGACCAGTTATAAGAATCTGCAGCATCAATTAATGGCTGTCACAAAAACAAACAACTAAAAATGACATTCTGTGTAATTAAATCAACTGATATTAAAGACCCTTGTGTCATCATCTCATATTTTCACTGTTATCCACTTCTCTCAACTGCATTCCATGTGAGACTCGAGTGTTATTAATATATTTCGAGGAACGAAAACAAACTAATTTACAATAAAATAGAACACTGCATCTAGTTTTAAAGAATCTATCAACCATGGGCACATGGCACTTTATTCATGTTTTTCACTTTGTGAAAATCGTATTCCAGACTGACTTCCATTTTGATGGAAAAATAACGCCTTTAACATGTACATTTCCATGTTTTAATGATCTAATTCTTATCCTGTTGTTTATATTTTGTGGCCATTAATCAGTATCTTCGCTAATTGCTGCTTCTGCCATTGTAAAAGGAATCAAAATTGTATAAAATGTGATTTTCGTTGTTGTTGTTTTTGGTCTTCCTATTATTGCTTTCGTTTTTGGCTCTTAACTCATTTTAGATCCCGATCTGACTATGGTAAGTTTACGGACTTACAACGCTAAAATCCAGGGCTTCATTCCGGATGTACAAAGCAGACAATCCAGTGTGAATTTGATCTAAAACAAATAAACACTCATTTTATACATATTAATTTTAATGATTATTCATAATAATAATAGTTATTCATTATTATGGTATTTGTTTTATTACCCCTAGTTAAGTTGTTTCTCGCATTTAGTTTTTACTTCGTTAATTCTCTTTCTGAATTATTTGCCTGTCGACTTTCGTTGTCTGGATCACTTGCCAGCTGTTGCGCACATGGTTTACTCATAGCTTTGTGAGAAATTATTGTGCTTAAGACTATCTGTCACTGACAACTCTAAGGCTACTCTTGTCCTACCTAAAATTGCAATTTGACGGTCACTCTTATAGTGCACCCAGGGCCCCCAAAGTGTGGAGCAAGTTTTTACTAAAACGGGTCGCCAGTCATGAACCCCGGAGCTACAGACAAGGCACGCTAACTAGTAGGACATTCCCGGCCCTCGGAACACTTGTGCGCGTTCTTCGGATATGGCTCTCGATCGTACTACTACTACTACTTGCACGACGTTTGACGTAATTGACTCGCGCCTACAATAACTAGGCCTGAATAAGACTTTCGGGAATGCTAAACGTGCTGCACTTAGAGAAAAGCACGTTACATAAAAAGTCATTTTCACATTCTTATATGTGAAATATGCAAGATTTATTTAAAGTTAATAACTCTTTATTCAAACTTGTTTGGGGAACTGAATAAAATTAAATCGATGATTGTGTTTTGTTTTAATGAATTGATACAATACATTACAAAGGTGTAGAAGGCAAATTAAAAGTGGGGAGGCTTATTTGACCGAGCGAAGCGAGGGAGTGTGCACTACAGGCGCACCCATTACGGCCACGGTCCAGGGTTAGCTTAAGCTCTTGGGTTCTGGATTAAATTGTATGCATTCTCCTTCTTTTTATGAAAGTAATTTTCCTAATTTTGATGCATTTTTACTGGGGCATATTGAAAGTGGGGGGGGGGCGTTCTCCCACTTCGTACGCCACTGAATTAAACATAATCATATAAACATTTTATATAAAATATGCCAAAAAAATCGCGCCATACAATTAGTAGCTGTGAGTGCGTTATATGAGTGACAGTCAAATCCCAGTATTTGGTGAGACAAGAGTTAGCAATAGGTGGTGTTGAATAGGTGCCTTCTGTCTAGTCTACCACTTCTAAACTAAGGACAGCTAACGCAGATAGGCCTCGAGTAGCTTTGAGTGTAATCCAAGATATGAATATGTTGTTTAGGTACACGCACTTAGTTCCTAGAACAACGGAATAAGTGTACTGGCTAACTTACAAATATTGAACAGTGTCAAAATTACCGACATCACGAATAAACAACATGTTGATATCATCGAGGTAAATAGATGAAACAAACTTATTAATACAGTGACATGACTCAGTGAGCATTTAACAGGAAAGGTGAATAATGAGTGAGTGGGTTTTGTACATTAATATCATACAATGAACAATATATTTGTATCAGTATTATATTAAAGAAACTTCCAATAACATAATAAATGCGTATTGCATCACAAATTATTCGTGGCAGTTGATGATCTAATATAAAATGGAATTTTTGCTGTAGAGGCCAGAAGGGGGATCCAAACGTTTTGATAAACTACTCATACACGATATACAAATTTAAGTTTTTGCTACCTGACTTGTTTTATTTCTTATCTTAAAACAGTATCTATTTCTTTCACAATCTAACTAAAGTAATTCTACTTTACATCGTCATCACTCTCACACTGGATTCAATTCTCTCTTTCACTACCATGGACACACATATGTCCCCCTATAGAACACTGCCCCATGGACATGTATGTCCCCCTTTAGAACACTGCCACATAGTATAACCTTTGTTTTAACGTTGAAAATGTGATATTAAATAAGTGTTCTGAGATATAGGCATGCAATGGAATGATATCAATAGTTTGAAAATTAACAAGTGCAACTTTCGAGTATGTTATGCTGCAATATTTTAGTCTTGAAATTTGACTGACCGTAAAGTTTTACCCATGTCCTTCCAAAGTTAATCAGGTCTAGAACTTAATGTGTATTACCCGTTATATAAGTTTGGTCAATATGCATTCATTTTGTTTTGAAACATTATGTCCCCGAAATTGAGGAAGATTTTTACTATGTACTACTGACCTTTTGAATTTAATCTTTTACCCATGATCTTCAAACGTTAATCAGTTCTAGAGATCCATGTGTCGTACCTGTTGTATAAGTTTCGTCAACATCCATTCATTCAGTCTTGAGATATGAGATATCCTGTCCACAAGATCGGGACAGACAAACGAACAAACGGAAAGGGGCAAACCAATATGCTTCGCGAATCAGTGGGGCATAATTTAAAATAAAATCATAAATGTTGCATATTAATCTGTAAATTTTAGGACTAAATGCACGAATAATTATTCTACTTTTTACTCCTCAGAATCTGAGAACATAATCATCTGTGAAATATTTCATGATAGCATCTTTAAAAAGATATGACATGCAAGCAATAAAGGGGTCATAAGTAAATGCAGCAGCACGTGTTTCTATTTCTAAAAATAAATTTGCCAGCGAGAGAGTTATTTATCTATAAACGTAGCAATGAAAGAGTTAATGTAAACTGTTTTTCACATTTGTTACTTCACGAGTAAAGCAGTCAGTCTTATAGAACATTTTAAGGATTCACGAAAGTCAGTTCTTCAACTAGATATGTCTAGTTTATGGTATATGAAATATGTATAATTGATACTTAATGTAAAACAAACTGAGAATACTTTCTAAAACTCGAGGAGGAGAGGTTAATAATACTTAACATAAAAGAATTACTAGCACTTAACTAGTAGTTAACATGAAACACTTGAGGAGAGTTCACTAGCACTTAACACAAAAGAACTTAAGCATTATTTACTAGTACTTAAAACAACTTAAGTATTATTTACTAGTACTTAACTTAAAACAATTTAATCATTATTTACTAGTACTTAACTTAAAACAATTTAATCATTATTTACTAGTACTTAACTTAAAACAAGTTAAGCAGTGCTTACTAGCACTTGACACAAAAGAACTTAAGCACTGTTTACTAGTACTTAACACAAAAACTTAAACATTTTACTAGTAATTAACACATCTTAAGCATTATTTACAAGTACTTAATAAGACAACTGAAGAGAGAGGGGGTACTAATACTTAATATACAACAAGTACTTAATGTAACAAGTGGAGAGAAGAGTTACTATTATTTAATATAAAGAGACTGGAGACCAGTATTGCTAATACTTGAGAAAAATCTTGCGTAGAATTACTAAGAATTAGAATAAAAAGTTAGGGTAGGAGATTAACCTTTTCCTTTCTCAAGAATTAAAACTGAGATTCAAACACGTGCCTCTGTTAACTAGGGAGATAAATGCTTTAGTCAACTATGCTATTGCATTTGAGGTATCGCTTCTCTCAAATTTTCCTTTATATTCATTTGTTACTAACAATAGAATTTGCGGAGCTTCAACTCTGTTTATTGCTTTGTTTGTTGTTTTTTGGAAATGGCAGATGGAGAAAACAAACCAAACGTCTTTCATTCTAGGTTTTGTTGTTCCCTCGACTTGGATGTGGTCTAAATTGTAACAACTGGTTTCGCTGTAAACACTGTATGAAATGATCTTACTAATAGTGCTAAAACCGTTTCTTTTTACTGGAAGATTCTATTTATTCCTCCAGAATGTTCTCTATTTCAAAAACAAAATCTTTAAATACCTATGTAGTTAAAAGGTGACTGCCTTACTTTTTGAGAGGAAAAAAAAGTCTCTATTATTGCTTATATTAAATAATTATAAGCTTTTTCACATGACCTGACTATGTAATCTACACTTGAAACCATAAATAGTGTATAGAATTAGGGTTAAATATGTTCAACGTAAGTTTATATTTGATAATTTAAAAATTATTTTATCAAAACTTAACAAGTGCATAATACGATGCAGAAGAAACAACACGTGATTCTATAATATATGCATTCGGGAGTTATTCCTGAGTACCCGAACAAACAAGTTAACAAACGGTGTATACTGCCTGACGAAGGGTGTCTGCCCGAAAACTCCTGAGAAAATAGTTTTCAGTTAGACGTTTGTTTAACTTATTTACTTCATTTTGTTTTCATTTTTCGTTCAATACATTTATTAATGGGCCTAATGCAACCTGAACAAAGTACAATAACATAATTATCTATGAATACAAGTGCGTGTAATTGACAGGAGATGATGTAAGAAACAGCTTGACAAAGTAGGGTTCTGTCTTACCTTGAGTAAATGAGAAAATATTATTTCGATAATTCGTTCTAGAATCTATGAAAAAAGTGGTATGTTATATAATATGATTTATATCTACAATACAATCTGACAAGAAGAAAAATGAATTTCAAGGTACAACAAAACTCGACCGGTAGATCAAAACCTGATTTTCCAGTAAAGCAAGATTCCGTGCATAAGAAGGTAGGAGAAACATTTCCCAATTGATCAGACTGAATAATAAAAAAACCCTGTGATTATGAATCGAATGTTTTGGTTTTGTTTTTCTGTCCTGAAAGTGCAAAAGATTATCTGTGTGACTGACTGCAAGCTTTAGATTTCTGTGGTAATCAAGACAATGGCGGTTGTTAGGCGTGGTTGGTTAGTAAGAAAGCAGAACTTGGGGAAGCTCCAGCATCCCAAAACAGAAAAGCTCGAACATCCTTACCCTGAACGTAAAACAAAACATACCACCTGTTTCTTCTTCAGTAGGAATGGGAATAGATGTGATGAAAGAATTGCTGTCTCCGCTGCCCGATGAAAAATCGAACCTACCCCATAAATCTCCACTTCCAGAGCCATAATAGTCATAGTAATCCTCGTCGTCTACGACGGTGTTGTAGTAGAAGCCACTACCACTTCCAGATTCTCGGACGAACAGAGAATTTGATTTAGGAATGGAGTCCACTTTGCTGTCCAATAACTACATAGGAAATAAGAAAAATAAATGCTTATCCATTAAATCCCCCCTTCTCACTTTCGATTTCTCTAACAAACGTGCCGTGGCAGTTTTTATGGAGATTTAACGTAAGATACTATACCCCTTTCACAAGCGTTACTGAGATTTAACGTAAGATACTATACCCCTTTCACAAGCGTTACTGAGATTTAACGTAAGATACTATACCCCTTTCACAAGCGTTACTGAGATTTAACGTAAGATACTCTACCTCTTTCACAAGCATTACTGTAATGTTCTGGTGATATTCTGAAATTTAAAATAGGAAAAATCCTAGCTACAAGATATTTACAAATCTAATAGCGTTACTTTCAGGGGAGTTTAGCTAGAAACAAAAACAAAAACGTTTATAGGAAATATACTGTGCATAATGTCAGGGAATTTCCCAAATGCAAATACACTGCTTGCATTTGTATCACATCAGTTCATTGCCCTCAAAAGAAATAAAACCATTATCTATATCGAGACAAGACGGCGAGCACAACCAGGCGGTTTACAGACAGTTGATACAAACTCACTTCTATTGACGTCATATACACAGTGTAGACAACATTGTGTCATATGACACTTAAGTGCATTAACGCCACTGGTAAACATTTTTGTTTACATTTTAATTTTCACAAGTAACTTTTAGAAAAATATCACCGGTTTCATCTTAATTTTATTTTTACTTCAACATTAAACCACTTTTAAATCTACAGTATTCAGAAAATAATACTCCTTTGCTAACTTCACCGTATGTATCTCAACATTCCCAAGTCACGCACGTGCTTATACCGTTCTTTACCTCTCTCATGTGCAGTAACTTATCAACCAATGTAGTAACAGCCAGCTCCTCCGCTATCGTTGGAGTCATTTCTGGGTTGTACTTCTGTGCCGCTACTCCGATCCCTGCTATTGTTTTCTTATACCTGCAACCATGTAATATAATAAATGTAATTAAACTATCAAACTGCCACTTCAGAACATTAATATGTAACTGAAGATACAAAATTTGAAAAAAAAAATTAAATCGATATTCTAAAGTTTCCACCTCAATAAAATTAACATTAAAAGATGTGTTAAAGAACGTAGTGGCACAACTGTTGATGATATTTTTATGAACGACTGAAGTACCTAGATTTGAAATATAATTTTTATCTTGACGCTATATGCAAACTTATATACTCTTACAGACTAACTTGATTGTTTCTGTCTATTCATACCTTGTCTGCGGACTTACAACGCTAAAAACCGGGTTTCGATACCCGTGGTGGGCAGAGCACAGATAGCCCTTGTGTAGCTTTGTGCATTAATTAAAAATAAAAAAAAAACTATTCATACCTGCAATTTATCGCAGGAATTACGTTATTATGAAGTGTTTAATAGAAGAAAGAGAAAGAACAGAAGCACTTTATCAACACTTCTCAATAATTACTCATCGGCTGCTACCTATACAAAATGTTCACAATATCTGTCGCCACTTTATTTCTTTTATGACTTAATCCTGTAATAGCTGTAAATGATAATCAGCTTTTTGAAATATTGCGTTATTTGTGACCAAATTTATTTTGTTTGTCGTAACACTTCAAGTGTTATCGCTAATTAAAATTTTCAGGAGCAAATATTTGGCTATAAAACTAATAACTCAGCGTACGTGGTAGTTATGACGATCCTAAAGTATAAGCCTTTTATCTCAGAGTCCTCGCAGCTCATCCCGGTTGATATATATATAGAAAGACAGATAGATACCCGAAACACATACAAGTTCCCCCTGTGGATACAAATAATAAAACGCCTCAGTACTTGATACCTTTTGTTTTGTGTTTATTCCTTAATAGTTTTTACTGCAGAAATAACAGTATTTAAGCAAGGTTAGTTGGAATTGTGCAGCGGTAAAAAAAAAAGCAATAGTAGAAAACACAGAATGGACAATAGAATTCACTGTAAAACAATATCCTGAGGAGTGACCTTTGAACTCACGAAACCGGTAAAAACATTATTGAGAGGAGAAAAACAGAAAAGTTCAGGTATTTTGGTGTTGTAGTATATATATATATTATTGACTGGACTACAACATTGTAGTGTCGATGAACGTAGAATTGTAGTTTCAATGAGCCAATGAAAAATCAGTAAAGTTACTTTCATCCGAAAACCTCCTCTTGTCTAATTCGATGACGATTCAATTGTTTAACTGTGGTAAAACGTGGTGTATTAAGGCTTAAGGCTACAGTATAATATATCAGTGCTGTCTAAGTTTAAAAAGTGGTGTATTAAGGCTTAAGGCTACAGTATAATATGTTAGTGCTGTCTAAGTTTAAAAAGTGGTGTATTAAGGCTTAAGGCTACAGTATAATATGTTAGTATTGTCTAAGTTTAAAAAGTGGTGTACTAAGGCTTAAGGTTACAGTGTAATATGTTAGTGTTGTCTAAGTTTAAAAAGTGGTGTATTAAGGCTTAAGGCTACAGTATAATATGTTAGTGCACTCTATAATCAGATATCCTAGTGCAGTGTTGGTCCTCTAAGGGTAAATCTAAGACCTCTTTGTATCCTATAATATATTTCATATATAGCTCATTTTTATTCTAATACGTCTTTTTTGGCTTATGACTCATAATGGAGGGACATGTGGCCCGTGGATTACTTTTCTTTGCCCATCACTGACCTAATGATCCTCAAATGTCTTATTTTACTTTACTTCCAATGTATTAATAGTTATTTTTAGGTTATTAACCTTATCTCCATTAACCTAATGAAACTTTTACCTGTTAAAAAGAAGAAAAAATTAATTGTTTTTGTTTTAAAAGAGTTTTTAAATACGAACATATTCTAAGCCTCGATCGTTTGTCAGGCAACAAAATAAATCAATGTCTTATTTTACTTTACTTCCAATGTATTACTAGTTACTTTTAGGTTATTAACCTTATCTCCATTAACCTAATGAAACTCTTACCTGTTAAAAAGAAGAAAAAAATTAATTGTTTTTGTTTTAAAAGAGTTTTAAAATACGGACATATTCTAAGCCTCGATCGTTTGTCAGGCAACAAAATAAATCAGTGTTATTCTTTCAATTCTAAAGGACAAATATCTATATACTGGAAAGTTTTAATAAAAAAAATGACTCTATACAGTTCGTGTGAAATTAAAATTAATGAAAAGTTCAAAAGGCTTTTCCCACAATATTATACGAGAGAACAAATATAGATTATATGCAGATACCTCCATATAATTATATTATATACACTGTACACTGAGTCTATACTCGGAAACGATAGCTCAAATACCAGTTTTTAATAAACAATTAAATGACGTTTGGTCCGCCTTAAATTTAAATATAATGAAATTAGAGCACGAGTGTAAAATCAAAATTCATATTTTGACGCCTAACTATCTGTCCAAGTTAATGAACATCCGGTGGAATGTGGAAAGACTTCTATCACAGGCAACCATTTCCCAACCGTCACTTCCGTTTCTTTATCAACAAACCTAATTAAACACTGACATCAATGACAAAGTCCGTCTACTGCCAAGGCCAGTTTGTAATTGATACTAACAATTTGTTTGTAGATTGACATTTCTTTCTGGAAGCACAATTGTTTTCCCTTGGCATTCTATGAATAGTAGCTTTCAATTAAAACCTTTCAAGCACTACGTGCATGCCTGGTTACAGATAAACTAATAATTAAAAAATATATTGTTAATTTATCCCTCTTGTGAAAACCAGCCCTACTTTTACTTTTCAGATAGCCTTTCTGTGTATGTATATATACAAACACAAATATACGTATGTATGCTTATACATACAAGAAGAACCAATTGAACTGCTGGAAAGTTCTGTATCATGAAGTATTCGTATATTTCTGTGTTACATATTTATATAATCGGTTACGTGCCTTACGATAATATCGACTGCATACTTACGAGAAAGACCATCAAAGGGTGTAATCATTTTAATTAATTTACATACCTTCCCATCTACTAGTCCGTTGGATCCTAACCTCTAATGAATCTTCAGTCTGTTGATTATCATAGCATCTAATCAGTTAACTCACTGGATCTTTACTCTGAATATTCAATCAGATGAGAACCATAACCTTAAATTAGTTAACTCAATGGATCCTTACCCCGAATTTTTAGTCATTTAGGATAATAACCTCTAATCAGTTAACTCACTGGATCCTTATTCTGCTATTGATCATAATAATTAATTTGTTAATTGACTGGGTCTTTAGTTCTCTAATTACCATAACATTTTATCGGTTAACCAATTAAATTAATTTATAGTCCTTCTAATTTTTCCCACATATTGTGAAAATCATAGTTCTTAAACAAAATTTGTCTGGACAAGGCTGAATAGTAACAACTATAAAACTACGAAAATGGTTCCATAGATATTTAGCATATGAGTGTATGAACATCAAATTCGTTTGACAAGCGACATATCACCGTGGTGTTACCTTTCTTTGATACACGTTTTACACGAGTACAATTGATAAGACATTCTTGATATAGGATCTAAATATATATATTATCAGAATAAAGTAAAACAGGATTAATCGAATAAAACAAAAAACATGAATATCTAATTAAACTCATTTTCACCACAAGATATCCCCTAGATTGTTTTTTTAGAATAGAAATACTTTATTTTCGATAAAGTTAAACAAAGAATTATCCAATGGATTTGTTGTTGTTATTTTGAATCAGTTCAAAAACAAAATTAAATAGCTTTAAGGTTAAGTTGTTATAAAACAAATAGATACCGGTTTTATGTATATCAAAACTTATATCCTCAAGTAGTAGTTAACAAGTTGAATTCCAATACAGATTTTCCACTGAAAAACTTTGAGTACTTACTTTGAGAAATTTGTGGTGTGCCCGTAGAGGATCAACCCCATAATTTTAGCGTTATAAGTCCTCAAGCTTACCGCTGAGCCCGCGGTGTACTAGTATTACCAAAAGTTTAAACATCACTTCTAAACTTGTTACATTTTCACAGTAAGCGTATCAATATGCAATTCCAAAACTACATACATATCCAATTAATTCAGTTTTATTACTAGCTCAGTAAAAACGAAGAAACTTACTGTTAAATACAACTTTTAACTTACCACAATCCTCTTAATTTGTCCATTTCAAATTCTAAATCATAGTTTTTTAAGATTTCATATCTGTCTTTTGTATCCCCCAATTCACTGCCCAACAGGCTTCTCGTTCACATCTGCAGTTTACGTGATGTTTATCACAAACGTTAGAATTATACATTAGGTGAAAACCTTATATATAAAGAGATAAATGCTATTCCAGATAGTAAACATTGTTTGTTTCATTTACGACTCTATTATGAAAATTCCTGTGAAAGGCTTGATTATATTTTTAAACCTATTGGTCCATTTATTTATTGATTTTCCAAATGAATTACCTATTTTTGAAACTATTTAATGTCTTCACAATAGAAATATAAAAGGTATTATTTACTGTACGTACATATATGGTTATTGCTTTTAAATACTGTTTGTTTGTTGAACTTCACGCAAAGCTACAAGGAGTTTCCGTCTACTTTTGAAGTTATAGATTAGAGGGAAAGTAAATAGACAATACCACTTATCCCCAACTTTTGAGCTACTCTTGTCAGGCCGAAAAATAGGATTTGACCGTCACTCTTATAACGAACCCACAGCTCCATAGTCTGGTACGCTAAACAATTGGTCTCCGCTCGGTCCACTCTTAAAAACGAAGTTTTCAAACAGGTTATTTGGAGTGCTTGGTATTCTCGTAAGTTTCTAATTTATCTTTATGACAATTTCTTTAAGAAAAAAAAAGTCTTAACTTCAAATTTCTTGTCTTTAACTTACAGATGCATTGATAATTTAATTAGTTTCAATAATGAGGCCAATACTGACTGTACTATGACAGCTGAACTGGAAATAAAACAGATGCTACGATATTTAATGCACAAATGCATTACTTATATTATCCCCCCCCCTTTAGTGGTTCAGCAATAATGCTTAGAACGCTAAAAATCGGGTTTCGTTACTCGTGGTGGTCAGTGCACAGATAGCCCATTGTGTAGCTTTGCATTTAACGACAACCAATCAACCAATTACTTAGACTTAGAGATAGAAATAAGAAATGATTCAGTTGGTATAAATATATATATATATATTTATGTCAAGACTTCTTTTCCAAAATTTTTGAACCTAATGGTAGGTAACATGCCTTCTTCACCATTACGTAAAAATGTGATATTTCTTCAGTTTCTAATAAACTGGATTATTTTCTTTCTAATACAGAGCTTATACTTCTTTGACTTCAGCGTAATGAATTTCAACAATATAGTTTAGTACTAAAGTGTTTTTAAAACATGCAACAGTAAAAATTTATAAAATTCGAAACTAATATTAGAGAAGCTTTATATAAAAAATTCAAAAATTGTTACGAATAATATATATTAAGCTCGGTGTGGACTAGTGATTAGCATATCGAAATATGGATCCAAACGTCCAAGGTTCGAGCCATGATAATACTGGACACGCTTTGCTCTTACAGCTGTGGACGCGTTCTAAAATTTTCAATCACTCAAAAACAAAACCTTTGTGACGGCGAACTGCTGCTCAATAGTCGCCAATCCTCTGGTAGCTCAAAATGAGGTCAGAGACCTTAACAGTTTAGCTCATGTGTTACATACGGTACCGTTCATGTTGAAACTCCAATTAATTTTTTTTTTTAATATGAGACGTCACTTGAACTATGCTTGTTTCTTCCGTTCATGCTAAAACTCCAATTCCTTTTTTTAAATATGAGACTTCACTTGTACTACGCTTGTTTCTACCGTTCATATTGAAACTCCAATTCCTTTTTTTAAATATGAGACTTCACTTGTACTACGCTTGTTTCTACCGTTCATATTGAAACTCCAATTCCTTTTTTTAAATATGAGACTTCACTTGTACTACGCTTGTTTCGGAGTACACCACCTATCGATGGTGACTTGCACATGCACGGAAGGTATAATTTGAGGGTATTTAG